TGTTTTGTTTGCCATACAGAAAACTTTATAAGGTTTTATTTTGCAAAGTTTTTATATTATATATATATATATATANCCGCGCCCCCTGCCCGCCTCGCAGCCCTTGGGCGGGGGTCGTCCCGCCCGCGGGCACTCGGGGATCGCTGAATCTTTGGGGTTGGAAGGGACCTGTGGAGATCATCCAGTCGCAGCCCCGTGCCGAGGCAGGGTCACCTAGAGCAGGTGACACAGGAACGCGTCCAGGTGGGGTTTGAATGTCTCCAGAGAGAGACTCCACGACCTCCCTGGGCAGCCTGTGCCAATGTTCCGCCACCCTCAGTGTAAGGAGGCTCTTACTCATGTTGAGGTGAAACTTACTGTGATTTAGTTTGTGGACATTGCTCCTCATGCTGTCACTGGGCACCACTGAAAAGAGTCTGGCACCATCCCCTTTGAGATATTTATGTGCATTAATGGGATCCTCTCGCAGTCTTCTCTAGACTATATGGGCCCAGCTCTGTCAGTCTGTCCTGATCAGAGCTCTGGACCCCTGATGGTCTTTGTGTCCCTCTGCTGGACCCTCTTTGTTAACTCCTTGTCATTCTTGTACTGAAGAGCCCAGGACTGGACACAGTAGGACGGAGCTGTTGTCTGACCGGCCACCTGAGCCCCTCCGGCTGCAATGAAAGGGCAGGGGGCACAGCGAGTTGTTCGCCGTGCACCCTTGTGCCAGCCCCCCTCCCCTTATGCACCTCCGACTGCAGGGCTGGGAAGGGGCTGGATGTATCTCTGCTGGCAGCGTCCAGCAACTGGTAGGAAATTATTCCGTGCCGACAAGGGCCATCCACAGCATGAGAACCCCGGAGTGTTTTTGGGGGATGAGTGAGATTGTCCCTGCGATCTGTTGATGAAGAGCAGCACAGAAGGAAATTTGGTTTTGTGTCCTTGGGAGCTACTGACACTGGTAGCCTCAGCCATGCAGTCTTTTTTGGACATCACTTACCGGCAGGAATTAACCTACCTGTTAGTTAGCCAAATGTTTCTGACAAGGAAAAATGTGGCATTAAGAGTGATGCTGGCCCATACTTGCAGTATGTGTGCACGCAGTTTTAGCACTTCCTTGGCCAGGTTACCTCTAAAACATGTAGCAGTATTGCAAGGGAAAGTCTGCTTTGGTGTGCATGTGTGATTATTTGAGGAATGTATTCCCAGTGAACCATTCTTACGAACAGCTATTTGTAATAATTTGCTGCTTCTGCAGTTCCCTCTGTCATTGTTCAGTGCTTTAAAGTTTACGTAGTCTTTTAAGCTGCTGTGGGTAAAGCTGTGTTTAGAAAGCTGTGCCGCCTTTTATGCGGTTTCATCCTCAGCCTCGTGAGATAAGCAGGCCTTTTAACAAAGTATTAAACTTACTGTTGCTAGAAACACGAATTGCAGGATACTGAAATTCAGTGCCAGGAGAGCACTTACTGACTAGGGCTACTGTTGGTGTGTTTTGGGCCTCCCAGCTTGATTAGTTAAGAAGAGTTTAAGACACAACAAAGTGGAAGAGAGCTGAATAAGAAATGGTTCTTCCTGGTAAAACCAGTAATCTCTCACTTGATGACTTGCTAGACTAGACATAATGGTAGGAGAGTCTGCATGCTCAGTATTATGGGTAAGGTTTCTCAAGGGCCACCCACTGCTGCTTTTTGTGTGCATCCAACCAGTTTGAGAAAAATCATCCCAGGGAAAGTGGATGCTTACATCTTCTCTCTATTTAGAAATTTCTTTTACATAAAACTTGTCTGGATCAGTGTATGGTAAGCTAGTGCTAGAGATTTTATTTTATGCAGGAATTTAGTGCAAGAACTTGGAAAGACCTGAAATCTTGAAAACTAGTGTCCAGAGATGATATCCTTATCTTTTGCAGAGGAGGTCAGATATTTTCCTGCATCTGAAGAAGAGGGACTACTCAGGCGTCATTCCATGGGTCCTAAATAAATTAACTCAAGAAGCAGACCTGGCTTATCACTGTAGTGATCTCAAGGAGAACTTTGCAGTTAAAATGGCAAACAAGATATTAGATTGCCCGAGGAATGAGACTGTAAATAGTCCAAAGAAAGTTGAAATGCCCTTAGCAGTTTGACCCGTTAGGAGTGTCTTGTGCAATCGCAGTTGGTCACCTGTGAAGTACCTTGTACTTCAAAAAGAATTTAGTTGTCTAGTTATTTTGTGTTCTTAAGGTATGGCTCTAGCCCAGGTTAACACAGACATGGATTTATTGTTTTGGGGCTCTTCAAAGGGAAATTGAATTTGATGCTTTGGAAGCTGAAGCTGTGAAACTTAAACTTCAAGATGAAATAGCTTAAGAAATAAAGAAACCCTGTGAAGGAGATGGAATTTTCTTTTGACCACATGGGTGCTGTGTTTGTACCTGTTCATTGGAAGCACCTGATGCTTGTGGGGAAGTGAACTTGATTCAGTTACCCAATCCTTACATAATCCTGGAATGCAAGTGTAGTACTGGTCACATGAGTGCTAAGTACATTTGTAGGTGTGCAAAACATAGCGTAAACCTGTTGGTCTTCAAGCTCAAGGGGACCAAATAGTCCTAAGGAACTACTTTGGAGATTTTCCTTTTCAATATTACAGGTAGGTACCTTTGAATAGTTCATAACTGATTCCATTGGAAATGAAAATGTCTGACAGTTGCATTCTTAGACTTATAACTTGTTTTACTTGCAAGTCTGTTGTCTAAAGGCAGGGTATATGTGCAGTCTTTTTTGCAAACAGTTGCGTCCTTGTAAGAGATCTGTCTTACAGGAGCAAAAGTTAATATGTGTGTCTCATTGTTCCTTATAAATTTCATTTCTCCCTCTGAGGGACACTGTCAGCTGCCTATTTAGTGGGGATAAATGAACATATAGAAGACTGAAACAGTTATGGGTGTTGTACACCAAGCTACAGTGTCCTGAAAAAGCTAGATGTCTATTTTGTACACATTTACAAAGGGGCAGCTTTATTATCAGAATAGAAATACCGTGCCAAAGATGCATGTGTCAGAACGTCAGTCTCTGTTAACCCACATTTCTTCTTTTTTCTGTACATCCCTGAAATGAGCATTAAGGTAGAAGACTTGCATAAAAGAGTGAATAAAAGTATGTATGTTGGGGTAAGAAGTCCAGCTACTTCACAGCAGTTACGAGTCTTCAGATCACTCTCAGGGTGTGGTTTCACACTGCAGTTGACAAAAATCTAATGGTGAGTTGGCGCTGAAGAAGGTGCTCCTGTCTTCCCTCAGCCACGTGTTCCTTCTTGCAGAGACACTCGTGCCTGTCCAATGCTGTTTTACACTGGCATCAGGGGCTGTGTAAGCAGAAAATTAATCACAGCTTTTTGTTGGTTATAACTCCATATCAGGTGACTGTGGGGTTGAATGAATGTCAGTGCTAGCACAAGAAAGTAGGCAGGAAAACCCTTTGACACAGGGGAAGTAGAGAACTTTCTTTGTTCTAGAGCAATTGGATATTTTAGTTGAGACCTGGCATGGGGTTTGTGCTAGCTTAAACCACTGGAAGATGGAACTGGCTCTGACTTTCCTTTGAACAGACAGTGAGCTGGTCCATGGAGCTTGTTCAGCCAAAAGTTAGAGGGTTTTGTCAAATGTAATTCTCACTCGCCTCAGCTTGTGGCTCAGTTGCATGTGCATTGGTGTGTGTGCAAGCAGTGTGACGCAACATGAGTGATTCTGAGGAGCTGTCATCCACCGTATTTATGCACTTCAGGAGCTTCCCTTTGCTGGAGTTCCAGCCTGGTCCTGTGCTCTGAATGTTAGCTGAGATTCATTATGTGCTGTCCTAGGGTGTATCTTCTAGGTTAGCTTGATACAGAAAAAACATAGTTGCCTGTTCTGGAGTAGCTGTACGGAGGAGTGTGCTCAGGGAAATTGCCTTCGAAGGCATGTTTCACATCTGACCTGAAACACTCATGTATGTATGCTAATAAAGTCAGGTTTTGGTGTCTCTGCAGTGGTGGGGAAATTGCTTGTAAAAGGTACAGTTAGCCAATATTTATATTGTGAAACTCATAACTTGTGCATGGAATTAATATAGTAGCTGTTCCATTTGTTTGATTTGTAGACTTCTTACTTAGGTGAGTTAATCATAGAATGTTTTCTGAATTTGTACTCTTGATTATGAATCACAGAAACTTCACCAGACAAAAAGCAAGTCACTGGTGCATATGATACTCATCTGAAATGAATGAGTCAAAGCATTTTGATTTAAAATACAACATTACTATAAAACTATAAATATGTAGGCATGTATTGTCTCTAAAATGAATGAACTGTCATCTTCAGTGCTGCCATTGTACAGCAGTGTTACCTGACTTCTAATTTAGTGTTAAAAGTCTTTGACAGAAAAATCGAACAATTATGCCCAGTTACATCAATTACAGCAGCCTTCCATTACTCCAGTAAAAACCCAGTGAAAAGCTGTTTTTGGCTCTTGTTAGCTACTTCAAGCTTTTTATTTATTTTTAAGGAGTCTTTACAGACAAATTAGTTTTGCTTGTTCTTGTTTTATTGATGGAAAAAATTATGCTGTGGTTGTCTACCTCAACTCTCTTTCTGAGTTTGCTGCACTCACATGAGAAGTTGTAAGAAAGAGCGTACCTGTGATGCAGCTGCTTCACTGAGAAGTCCACACTCTGAGATGTTGGCATGTGCTGCCTTCTGTTGTTCTTGGGGTGGTAGTTTTTGGCAGATAGAGGGAACAGAAGATGCAGTGGTGGTTCTCTCAAATGCCAGAACTCATCTGCTGACAGGCAGCACAATTATAAATAGAATTACAATCTATAGGCAGAACATGGCAAAATGAAATTGCACATTCCTGATTTAAAATGTTGGCTTCTTTGTTGGAAAATTAATGTAGAGAGGAAAGGATCTAAGAAAATAACAACTTGTTCACAATTATTGTGTCGTTGCAGTTACTGTTTCAGTGACTTTTTCTACAGAAAGACTACCTGTTTGTCCAATCAGTAGAATCTACTAAATGCCAACTTTGAATGTAAGTTGAACCAGGGCATGCTTTGCTTAGGATTGCCTGTTTGGTAGAGACATGCAGAAGACTCAAACTCGTTTTGGTTAATTTGCTGAATTTACTGTTCTTTGAGAACTGATGGGGTAAGAAATTAGAATTCCTTATACATGGCAAATTTCATGCCTTCCTTTCAGTCATATGAATTTGGACTTTAAGATCTTTAAAAAATATGTGCTGTGTAAAAAGCTTTTTTCTCTAATACTGATAACTAGTCTGTAACAAGCCCAAATGAAAAAAAATACCACTTTATTTAATCCAACTCTTATATTTGGGTGGGGTTTTTTGTTTGTTTTTTTAAAATTATTATTATTTAAAATCTTATATTAAAATGTAACATGGAAAAGATTTTAAAAATAGTTTAGATTTCTTCTCAGGCAGTATTTGCAACAGGTCATTATCTAGGTATTCTTCCGATGTAGATGCCTCAATTATAGCAATTTTCTTTCTAATCTGTAGTATTTTTTCAGCCTGAGCACCATAAAATTTATGAATCTGTAGACTTATGGTTATAATGTTACCTAATTTATATATAATTTTTACATGTTTATATATTTTCATATAAAAGATGTTTGCACTCATATATTATGCTGTATCCCAGTTCTCATTTAGTAAACAAGAGTTGTTAAAAACCTGTTATAAGTGCCTGGATCTGCAGTTAAAAATATCCGATTTGTGAATCACCTATTTTTTCCTACTAAATGTCACTGTAATGGTGTATTCTTCTTTCAGCTAAGCAGTAGGTTAGCTTTGATTCCCTGTATTGATGAGGTACATAAGAGTGTACTTTCTGTTAGTGCCAGGAATGGCTTTTAATCTGTTGTTTATCCTGTGAATTATGCTTTAAGTTTCTGCAGAATTCTGGTAAAAATGTTTATTTAAGTGATGTTACTTTCACAGAGACTATAATGGGCTGAAAATTAATTTCTTTTTTCAATTAATTGTTGGAGTGGTCTCATATGTCAGCAGCATTTAGGAAGAGAACAGTCACTGTTTTTTGAAACAAAAGACAGGAAGTTAATGGCAAAACTTTAGGACTTTAGATGAAGTCTATTAGACTTCTATATGTTTTCAGTGGATTTATTAGTGTAATTGGTTTTGAGCCTTTGAAATTGGTATTTGTACTGTACAGTCACTTACATAGCAAATAATTCTTTCATAATTCCATATGCCAACACAGCACTCAGATAATTTCAAGTATCACAGCTCAGCTTAGTTTGAAAACAGTTTATTCTTTTCTTTTTAAACATGCTGTCAGATGACAGCAGGGGTGATTAATATCCTTTCTGCCATAACTGGATAGAATTCTAGAATCGGAAATTTCAGGGCCTTTGGCAAATGCAGCTGTCTTTGAATCAAGTTGGCTGTACAAAATTATGGATTGTAAATTTGATCTTTTACTGGTAAAAGCAATTTCTCTTGTGTTAGTAGTTTTAAGCACTTCACTGACTGTGAAAAATGGCAAACATGCCTTCATCTTAGTCTAATCTTCAGTAAATGTTACTGCAGATACTGTGAAATTACAGGACTTTGCTGGCAGTCTCTACGAATTTTCAATTGTATTTACTAGCTTTCAAAATAATAGTCCTTGCAGACAAGTTTCCTACCTATGCGGTCATAAATATTTACTGGTTTAGGTTAGTCCTTGTTGTAGAATTCCTAGATGTCAGTTTGGAGTTCTGCTGTTCATTTAAATGAGTTTGAAGTCAGAAGTGAGTGTGAGAGAAATATGTTTACAATCAGATTTTTCCCAGTGGAGTTCCAATAATGATTAATGTAAGAATATGTTTCCCTCTTATTCTCTTTCCTTTAGCATTTTTGTTCAGCATAAGGTTATTCTCAAACCAGCAATGTCATTCTTTCTAAATTAATGTACCAAGTTGGTGATCATGACTTCCTTGTTTTTCCACCCAGGGTTAAGAAGAGTTAAATTATCCCTACACTTGTTATACAAAAAATACAACATAACTTAGGCATGTCTGACTGTGTATAGGAACTGTGTTTTGAGAGGTTAAAAGACTTGGAAAAGATGACAGTCTGACCTGAATTTCTGGAATGATTGACTTCTGATGTCGAAAATGCTTCTGAAGTATGGTAACAGAGCAATGAGTAGGCTCAGTTTTGAATACATCTTTCAACTTCCATAATCCCAGAAAAGCATGACCAGGAATGAATTGTGTAAAATTTAGCATTAGGTACTGACGTACTCCTACTGCCGACTAGTAGTTGGGAATTTTGTGGAGAAGTCGTTGTTATTACTACAATAGTGTGAATGACTTGTTTTTTCTGATTTGAATAATCTAAAATAATTTAAGACCTAATGTTAACAATGGAGTCTCAAGTGTAGCTCTGTAAATGTGCAGTATTTAGAACTTTAACCAAGGTTTGTTTAAACTTTGATAGACACATCGTTAAGGATTCTTGGCCTCAGTGGGAGAAGGAGAGCAGTGCAAAGCTAAGTAACTAATTAACAGTGCTCAGATTGATGCCCAGAGGAAAAAAGACTGGGATGGAAAGGAGTGTAAAGTAATGGACACAGTAGCTTCAGCTAAACTTACATGGATGTGCTCAGGAATAACAGGAACAGACCAGGACAATCCTATTTGTCCAGGCCACAGCATGACCACTAAAACTGGGATCAGAGAATGCCTTAATCTTTGTTTTACATTAGCAAAAAACCCAGAAGCATGTGCTCATTCTTTAGGATTTTTCTCTGTTAGTGTTGTTCTGGCATAATAATGGAAGGTGATGTGTGTGGAAAATGTTAAAACCGAAAAAGAAAGAAAATAATTGTTAGCAAAGAGTATCAATCATTGGAATGCTTGAATTACAGAGAAGGTCTGAAAAGAATGAAAATGTCGGTAAAAATGCTTCTCTCTTCAGCTTTTAGTATTAAAAAATACTAAAAATATACTCAATGCTGCATGGTAGGAGTATCCACAGAATATCTGTGAAGTATCTCTTCAGTGCCTGCTGAAGCTAGATGCTTTCTTGATAATTATATGCAAGTAATTCCATTAATTTGTTTATGCTAAGGGAGATATATTCCATTTTGAAGATCAGTAGAGCTTCAGAAGCTATTTACTCACATAAACTTCAACCATAAGAACAAGCAAACAACATACAAAGTTAGGGCAAACTTGGTTAGTCTTCATAAGTATTCAGTTGGACTTTTAATTATTGCAAGGAAAAGACCAAGTGCCTCAAAAGATTACAGACGAAGAATGTCATTCCATGTGTGCCAGATGGGGCCTGTTTGCCATTTCTGCTTCAGGCTTTGCTTGTCAAAAACATAAACTGCAAACCTTAAAACAAGTTCTAGCTATCTGATGTTGACGAGTGAGAGATGTATGCTACAAAATTCATTGTGGTTTGTTCATAAAAACTTGTACTACTTCTATTGTAAGTAAAGCCTGTGAGTAAATAACTTCTGAAGCTCTGCTGAGGTGTTTGTTGGTTGTACAGTAGACAGATTCAGTTTAATAAAAGGGAAAATAATTAACACAGTAACTTCTTGTTGGCTTGCTGAGTGGTGTAATCACATTGTGTGACCAGACAGATAAGCAGCAGTTACTGCTCAGGGATGGAGAGCTGCAGCTGAGAGCAGAGGAGGGAGGAGCTATTTAGCTTAAGCTAAATATGTAAAATTACATAGTAAGAGAACACAGGTATGTGGAATATTTCACTTTAAAAGAGCCTCTCTTTATGCATCAAAAATGAGAAATGGTTCTTGTAGTTCCCCAGGCTGTCTCTTGCTGTTTGAGATTTTTTTTTTAATTCCAGTTCTTCTGGCTGCTTTATTACCATTTCTGCTTGTAAAGTGTCTTTCTCATGAACACATACTATGGCAAAAAAACAGCAGTAGATAAAGTCTTAATACAAGCAAAGAGCAACTCTGCCTTGAGGTCTTCCAGGTGTGACTTTTTACTTGGGAGGATGGTAGTTGCTTTCTAAGTGAGTGTTCATCTGGCTATCTGTATTTTCCTTTGTTGGTACTACTGAACTATCAGAAGGGTGTAAAATTCATTATTCTGCCCTGTTTTTGAGGGCATATGACAGTATTTTATTTGATTTGTAGTCAAGTAGGGCAATCTGTTACTCTAGATATTTGGAGAAGTGGTCTCCCTAAGTCATGGTCTTGTAGTTGCATGTAGGGTGCATTTGCCTCATCTTTGTGGATTGATGGGTGGTGGTTGCCATCATCATACCAAATCAGAAGGGAATTGCTGACCTCTGGAGAGCCACGGAGCTCTGCATGAGAGGCTCTGCAAGTCAGATTCATGTGTAGAGTTTTTGTAAAAGCTGTTAGTAAGACCACAAACTTTACAAATGGAAAAATCAAAGAAGCTACTCTACTGCATTAGGAAGTGTTTTTAATATAGGAGTCTAATGCACTGTGAATCTGCATGCTACTAGGAACTGTTGCTAACTGCTTTTTGAATGGGTCAAGTTCTGGAATTACCTAAAGTATAACTGATTCAAAAAGCACCACCAGTAATAAAAGTTCTATGAGGTTTTTGTGTGTGTGTTCAGTATATTCACTTGTGAAGAATTTATTATCTGTCATAAATCAGAGTTTTAAATTTCCATTGCTTTTCACTACTTTTCTATTACAAAGTGAAAGCATGACTCCAATTCTGGCTACCCATACTCAGGGAGTGAGCATGCTTGTAAAACAGACCCCAGAGTACAGGGGCAGAATAATTCCTCTGAGCTTTAAAATACTGGGTCATTTTTTGAACAGCTAATTAGTTCTGATGTGATTAATTCTGAAATTTCATTTAACTGAAACAGATGTATGTTTTACCCTGAAATGACCTGTGGAATGGGAAATCTTAGTTCTAAGTATCTATAGAGAATTAATTGTCCAAGCTGATGAGCTTTTTCTTCCTGATAGCATTTTAGCAGGGTACTTCCACTGTGGATCTGTGCAGTGTGAAAATCAAGGGCAGAGAAGTATTAGGAGAAGT